CAATAAGATCCTATTTCACATTATCTTTTTATGATATGCATGGATAATCTTTCTCACTTGACTATGGATGTTGGGAGAATTAAAATTGGGTTGGCATAAAAGTTGGCATGAAAGGCCCTATGGTGTCTCATCTAATGTTCGCGGAAGACCTGCTTCTTTTTGGCTAGGCTATGGAACAAAAAACTGTAAATATGATGAAGGTATAAATAAGTTATGTGATGCTTCTGGGAAAATGATTGGCAAGGAGACAACAAAAATTCCATTCTCCTTCAATACTCTGGTGCGTATTCGCAGGCACATTGATACCCTTTTAGGATTTAGAGAAGTCGACGATCTAAAGATGTACTTAGGCGTGCCTTTATCTGAAAAATTCTCAGGCTCATAAATTTTTCAGTTTCTTATCGATAAGGTTCGATCAAAACTTAGCCACTAGATATGCAATCATCTTTCTTTCGATGGTCAGGTTATGCTTGCTAAATCGGTGATTTAAGCACTCCCAACTTACTCTTTGATGAGCAACAAGGTTCCTAAGGCTTGCACCAAAATTATTCATCATCTACATTAGAACTTTATATGGGTGTATAATAGCAACTATACATTTCTTAGTGCTCAAAATATTTTTTATACTGCATTGAAAATTTTATTTTTTATGTTTGAACAATGTTAAATCACTTTCAAATATAATCTATTGACTTGGATAAATAAAAAGATGTTGCATAAGGTTGGGTCAAATACTTAGACAATTTTTCAATATTTCAATTTTTTCCAAACATTCTGTTTTTGGTAAGTTGTGGCATTTGGAATCGTCATAACAGTACATAAAAACCGCCACAATTTGCACCGGTTTGAACCAATATTTAAAATTTGAGATTCGAAAAATATTGCGAACTTGTTAAGTCAAGTATCTGTATAACTGAAATAACAAGTCCTGTAGCAGAATTGAAAAATGCTTTGTTTCATTGCATCCATTCATCATTTCTTCACATGGAAAACATTACATCTTTTTATGGATAAATATTCTGATTTTCTATCAACCATTGTCATATTTTTGAATAGTGGTTATCATCTCCATAAGTTGATTTTAAAGTTATATTTTTCAATTACCTTTTTCAAACTTTGTCAAAACTCTCTATATTTTCAAAACAAAATTTTCATGAAAGGTACATTGTGAATCATTATTTTTCATATCATATTCATCAAAGTATCTTGAGAATTAAAGAGTATTGTTTATTGTGATTTTATATTGAAAGAGAAGAAGACTATAGTCATTTGATTAAGTCTTATTTATACTACAAATCTTCATATATTCATTTTATTGAAATTGTTGTAAAAGTTTCTAAGTTTCAAGGATTGTTTGGAAGTAGGTGTGTATTATAAGAAGAAGAATTGTTTCTTCTTATAGGGTTTGTTGAAAAATCCAAGAGAATTGTTCTTGGCGGTTTAGTTAGGATCTTGTATAGAAAGACAAGTGTTGTCTTGTTCATAGGGATATAACTAGAATGAAATCTCTTTCATGTTGAAAGGAGACTAGAGTACTCTCGGATTGTGAGGGGAACCAGGATACATCATTGTGTTCTTTACTTTTCTGCATTTTATCGCTTTCATCACATAAACTTAAATTAGACGAAGGAAAGACATCTCTAAAATCGAAGAAATTTTCATACTCCTAATTCACCCCATCCCCCTCCTCTTAGGGGCACTCTATAAACTTACAATATCCTCCCCGTCGGAATAGCAGGCACAAAGATTGTTGCATTTGATTCGGAACGGCCAATGGATTATTTTTTATACCTAGCTCTTATGATTTACGTTTTCCTTATATTCCTATGGTGTGAGATAGACAGTGGAGTAGAGCTTGAAAGATTAAGGTCCTTGAGCGAGTATGAGTCTATGTGTGGTTGTTGCTTGTCCAAGGTTTGAAAAGAAACTTATTTCTATTTTAGCAGTAGATTCAGGATTCGTACTGTGACTTTTGTAATGGAGTGGTGGAATCCTTACTTTATGTTTTCCGTGATAGCTGGGTTGCCAACCTTGTTTGGTCCAGTTTGCTTTCTCCTAGTAAGTGATCGATTTTCTTCTCCCTTGAGCTTGAAGCATGGTTAGTGTTGAATCTTACTCACAATTTGGGCAATTGTAGCTTAGATTAGGTTTATTTATGGGCCACTGCTTGCTATAAGTTACGGTAGTGGAGAAATCTTGGAAACCATAATCCGAATTTTGTTTTGCCTGCTTATTCACCTAATGTGGTTGAGTCCTCGCTTGCTTAGTATTCGAGAGCGATGTTGCTCGAGAAATCGGTGTTGCACATATGTCAAAATAAGATGCGTGTTATGCGGGAGTGTGTAGTCAATGATCGGGTAACGATCAATGTGGATAGGGTTGTTAGTCGTTGTGTTAAAAATATTGATGTCAATCAACATAGTTGAGCAGAGTGTAGGGTCGTTGCCTGGAATGCTGCAGTTACATGGCTAAGTTGTGGAAAATTTTCAAATTGATGAAGTTGTCAAAGATATCACTAGTTGCAAGTCTGTTCGTAAGACTAGACTTAGTTTAGTGCACAAATTAAAGATGATCTCAATTGTTTAAATAATTATCGATTCAAAATTATTCTCGCAAAGCTAACCTCTCTTATAATCTTTCGAATTATATTTTTGACTATTCTCTTTCCTTCTTGATTGGTTATGTCTTATGTGTAGCACACATGTGTGTATATATATATATATATATATATATATATATATATATATATATATATATATATATATATATATATATATATATATATATATATATATATATATATATATATATATATATATATATATATATATATATATATATATATATATATATATATATATATATATATATATATATATATATATATATATATATATATATATTAACAATATTTTATTCTAATTTTTTATATTGTATTATAATAAACTTGATTGTTCAAAATATACAATACTACGCAAAAATATAATATTAAAAAGGGGGATTTTGAATGACTTTGTAACTTTAGTATTTATAATAATTAAATGAACCATTAAAATAAGTTAGTTATTGAGAGAAAATGATTGATTTAAAATAATATGAACAGAAACGTACTAAAGTTTCGGAAAATCAAATTCACCTAAATCAATTGCATTATTTGCTAGCACATGTGTTAAATGTTTTTTTTTATATATAATCATCAATTCATTAAAACTAGGACTAGAAATAAAGTTCTAACACCAATAGAAACAACCTTGCTAAAATGAAGGAAATAAGTAAAAATATAATTAGATAGGTCCTAGCCAAACAATAAAAAACTACTTATTTGAAGTTTTTTTTTGTTATTCAAATCATTCCACCTCCAAGAAAAATGGAAAACCATATGAAAGATTTCTTTTAGTTTTCAAACTGTTCTAGGTATTGGTCTTTCTGGTGAAAAGAGGAAAATGATTGTAATACTCTGTTTTGGCATTCATGTTGGCTTGGAGTGGAAAATGATTGTAATTCATGTTGGCTTGGAGTGGAAAATGATTGTAATACTCTGTTTTGGCATTCATGTTGGCTTGGAGGCTCCGTTCTTAAACTGCAATCCCTTGAATTATTTACTGCTTTTTCAAGTCAAGATATTTTGATTAGGGATTATGGAAGTTGGTTTGAGAACAAGTGGGTTTGGGATCTATATGACAACAACGAAGGTTGGAGTCAGCCTTGGATCTGCATCATATTCTAAGCTTTTATTCAAGATTAGGAAGAGGTGGAATTAAGATGATAAAACGAAGAAAGCTTTAAAACTTTTGTGGAATTCAAAGATTCCATTTAAAGTTAAAATTTTCGAACATAGACACTTTTTAAATCGGCTGCCTACCCACAAGAACCTTACTAAGAGGAATTACCTCTAATCCACATGACATGGTTTGCGTTTTCTGCTTTCAGGTTGTTGAAGACTTATTTCATCTCTTTGTTCCTTGTGTTAAAACTAAACTTGTTAAGTAAGATGTCAAATCTTGCCTTAGTGTTGTTTTAGGTTCTAACTGTATCGACCCCTTTCTTAGTTTGATTGAATCGCCTTTGTTCAAATCCCCTTGAATCGCCTTTGTTCGAATCCCCTTCTTGCTTAATTTGACTTGTAACATGTCAATGAATCATATTTATCCTTTAGAACACCACTCCATAAACCACTAGGTTCATTGATCACTCTCCATAACCATTTCATAACCAAAGCTAAATTGAATACCTCAACATCTTTAATTCTCAAACCGCCATCATTTTTTAAATTGCACACTTGAGACCACTTCACCCAAGACACATTTTTTTGTTGAAATCACCAACCCATAAAAATTTCCTTTGAATCTTTAATTCCAAACCCACCATCATTTTTTTGATTTGCACACTTGAGATCACTTCACCCAAGACACAATTTTTTGTCGAAATCACCAACCCATAAAAATTTCCTTTGAATAGCTTTAATCTCCCTCAATACTTTAATCAAAGTTATTCAACAACCAATAGATACTACCCTTCCCCTCCAAGACAGCCAAGCTTTAATGTTAAGAACAGCCTCCATTCATTTGATATGAAATGCAATGAATCGATCTGGAAAAATGAGGGGTATAGATTTGGACGCATACTTTTTAAAATCATAATTTCCACAAAATATTAGACCACAACTAGTTTAATTCATGATCAAAAGAGTAATCCAAAAAAATATAAGACTTCTCTACAAAAAAATATAAGACTTCTCTACAAAAGTTCAACTAATTCATGCTTATCTTTTTGGAAATTATGATTTTGTGTCGTCAATTTGTAATAATCTAGATACCTTAGATGAAAATCAAATTCGTGCTTATAATCTCAATCGGAGACACTTAATCATAATTTCCAAAAATTACCATCAGACAGTTCGGTATGTGTTATCGCTAATTTGATTAAAACCACTTGATCAAAACCAGTGCATCCAATTTGAGAAATTAAACATGTATTTTACAACTGTAGCATGATAAACCCTAGAATTCTTGAGAAACAGATCCAATTTCTCCCTTTCCCTTTCCAACCTTCTTAGGTAGCAAAGTCTGATGAATATTAGGCAAAACACCTCCGTTGGCAATGGTTACAGTTCCCAAAAGCTTGCTCAGTTCCTCATCGTTCCTTACCGCAAGCTGAATGTGCCTTGGAACAATACGGTTCTTCTTGTTGTCTCTCGCAGCATTACCAGCCAATTCCAAAACCTAAATCACACATAATTCTAAAATTGAGTTTCCAATTTCGAAATACAACCATATAACCTACAATTCATGAAATCTATCGAGATCGATCTAAATTAGACCAGAAAGAAACATACCTCAGCGGCGAGATATTCAAGAACGGCAGAGAGGTAGACCGGAGCACCAGCACCAACACGTTCGGCGTATTTTCCAGCCTTCAAGAATCTTGCAATTCTCCCTACTGGAAATTGAAGACCGGCTTTAGAGGACCTTGAAACAGATTTGGTAGCCTTTGGCTTGCCTCTTCCGCCCTTGGTTGTAGAACTCATTTTCTGATCGGAGAAGAAATCGGAAAACCTAAACCCTAGTTTCTGAGATTCACAAAACTGAGAACTGAGAAGGCGAGAATTTTTTTTGATAATGACTTAACTAGTGGAATGTTGTTATATAGTACCTCCAATCTTTACGTTTATTGGCAGAGAGGGGTAGGGCACGGATTGCCAGCGTGGCACTCTTACTCAGAATCGCGCGAAACTATTCTTTCCGTTTTAGGGTATTTTCGAACTACACGCGCCATGTTATTGCACGGCTGGATTTTTATTTGAATTGGTCAAGTCGTAAAAACGCTTTTATTATTATTTTTATTTCAATAATCGTGTTGGTGTACGTAGAGCTAGCAAAATAGTTAACCTCATATGGGACGGCCCTCATATCGTACTTATACCTTGAAATTATAGTCTATTTTCGTTACTATTTTTTAATTCAGAACTTAAAGTGCGTTATCTATTAGGATTAAATTATAGTCAATTTTAACAGCTTTAAGTATATGTTATTGTCTTCAAATAACTTTTTGTGATTTTTTAAAAATAATTTCTATTGTCAATAATAGAAGATCACTAACCATCATTTTTACGTCTTAATGTTAATTAAAACTAATATAAGAGTTTATTTCGTGTTCATTTTTTACTCATAATCTATTCATTAATTAAAACTTTATTTGATTTAATTTAATGGATTACTTCATTATAAGTTTCTCTTTCTAATACATCAATTCCAATATTTAATGTCTATCTATATTCCAAATTTTTAATGAATTTTAAAAGTTAATTCTTCCATTCAATTAAATTTTGGTCTTTCCTAAATAAGAACATAAAACAAGGAATATGATCCTCTCCTGCTATGTTGGTTCGGCTATCTCTGCAGTATTAATTCAATGGTTGAGAAACAACAACAAAATTGATTAAAAACATTATTTATGATGAGGGAGGAAAAATTTTGAATTTAGAAAAATATTAGTTAAAACTAGAAATTAAAACATATTTAATCTTAATTCATTCAATTATTATAAAAATAAAAATAAAACAAGCACTTAATCATGTAAGATAAACATTTTTTTTAAAGAAAATTGTTATTGAAAAACTTATCGTAAAAATTATTCTCAGGAAATTCTCTACATAAATAGACAATAGCAATATAAATGAATTTATTCTAAGGTTTTCAAAATGCAAAATAATACATTAATTTTTTTAAATTAAACCATGTCCATTCACCTACCAACAAAGCATAAGTTTTTTTTTTTTTTTTTTAATTTCCCAGCAAAATACCATGGCCTTTGACTCATCTTCTTCATGGTTATTGTGTAGTTTCACTTTGTAATTAATCGACAGCTTCATCGAAATTTTTGTTATCAACAATTTTGCCTAACATTATCATCAACAAAGAAATTTGAAATAGATTTGAATTAAAGGCAGTGGAGAATGGCGGTTGATCAGAATTTGAAGTGGCCTAGAGACTTCGTCTGTGATGCTGGATTTCAAAGATGAGGAGCAGGTGTACCTGCAAGGCACTCCGATGCTAAAGTAAGAATCGGAAGAAGAGAAGGCAAGTACAAAGAGAGTATGTCTTAGGATGATTTAGAATACATGACTCTCTCAAATGAGAGAGTTTTTATAATTCCCCCAACGCTTGGCCATTGGTCCCTATTTTCGGGGTGACATATTCGCTCTCAAATAATAAGTAACTAGTCGTTGGGACGGGCAGAGGTGCTCGAAACTAGTCGTTGTCGTAGGCAAGGGCGTGGTCGCGGGCACGACCATCGTGACTGTTTTTGGATGGTGGAATCGTGCGTGACAGGCAAAAATGTGACGAGGGGCAGCTGATTGGCCATCCTTCCTCAGCAGAGGAGAAAATGCTTCCATTTGCCCTCAATTGGCAGGGCTTAAACTATTGGGTCGTTATGGGAGTAGAAGTGGATTAGGTCATGCCTACCCATTGGGCAGTATGGAACATGAGCCTCTCAAGTTATTACTCCTGAGCATATAAGTGATAACTTAAGGCACATGTGCCTAGGGAACCCGAAATGTTGTCATGCGTTCCCGGCGAGCGGGGGAGCTCAATGGTTGATGGGGCCTTAAGGGATGGAGTGCCACGTGTGTATCGAGCCATGTGTTGCATTTAATGTGTAATGATGGCTATGCTAGGGTCATGATGATACTCATACGCTCCACGTGCACGTGTTTCTAGGTTGTCTATAAATAGAGGGAGGAAGTGTTCATTTTCACTTTTCGCTTGTCTATTTTTTCTTGCTGCTTGTCCTCGATTACGTTATCCACCGTCGTAACGTCGTCGCACAAGCAACGTCCAGACTTTGCCGACCAACCTTTCTTTTCTTCGACCCTGTAAGTTTTCTTCACATTTTCTGTTTTAAGTGTTTTAACCCTTGTTCTTCTTAGATAGCATATGGTTAGGATGAACCTGGGTAGAGTAAGGGTGGTTTCTGGCGAACATTGGTGGCTGGCGGTGGTTAGGACATCTTCCGTCACCGTCGTTGTTGCTGGAGTGTTAGGAACTTAGGATTTTTGTTGATTCTGACACCGTTGCGACAACGAGTGAGTTTTTCGCCGGTGGAACTTATGTGTTTTTTGTGTACTCATGAGTTTTCTGGTGGATCTTCAACGAAATTCTAGGTAAGGATCGAATAGGATCTTCACATGTGGGTTTGAGAGATTTCCATGAGCGTCCCCTTGCACCGTTGTTACGATGTTTAAGTAAGGGCTTAGGTCGGGAACGTTGTCCTCAGGCCTTCGCGCACCCTTTCACTTGACTAGCGGTGGAAGGGTAGATTTGACTTTGTCATCAAATTCACTTTTGTCCTCTGCTTTTCAGGTAAAGGAGATGTCTGACGATCCCGAGGATGAAGTTATGAGGGAATTGTTCGAGGAGAGCTCTTCAGAGGAGAGCAATGCTGATGAAACTTTCGCTACCCGGAATGCCATTGAAATGTCCGTTCCTAGTGGTTCCAGGGAAGAATGGGTTGTTGTTGAACCTCAGGAGCATGCCTTCACGATGGTGGTGGCCAAGGGAGACTAGATGGTCCACTTCCCTAGGGAGAACGATCGAATATGCTCGGCCTACAGGGAGAGATTTCCCATGTATGAGTTTGTCTTCAAGAAGATTGGTTTGAGGCTGCCCTTCACGGACTTTCAAGTGGCAGTTTTCGGACACCTAGATTTGGCGCCTTCCCAGCTGCACCCGAACTCGATTTCCTTTGTTCAGGCATTCGAGATTACTTGTGAATTTTTGAAGATTGAAGCCACTCTTCCCCTTTTCTTCACCATCTTCCATCTCCAACACCAGGTTGTTATGAGGCATTCAGATGGGTCTCCCTAAAGCAAGGGAGGAAATTATTCAAGCCTTTCTCTGAGACCATCAGGACGTTTAAGTAGAGGTTTTACATAGTTGATCCCGTTTTGGAGAGGGCCAAAGACTCCTTGTTCATCTGGGAGGTTTCGATAGACGAAAGCAGAGAGCCTCCCATTGACGAGCAGGGCAAGATAAAGGGGCAGAGATTACTGAAGTTCCCCTCCTGCTGGAGTGGGGAGCATTTCACCCGTGGAACTGATGATTACCTTGCCATTCCGCACACGCTGAAGGAGGATGATCGGGCCAGTTACGACAAGCTTGTGGCCTTTGTTAATAATTTCCTCCATGCTCAGTGAGTGACTAGGAACAGGAATATCATTTATGAAGAAGATAATGGGCCTAAGGTGGAGACCTGATACATTAATACAAAAAAGTTCCTCGAGTGTGGCACTCGCGAGAAGGCTCTGGAACTTCCGGGTAGACTTTTATTTCTTAGCTTGTTCATATTGTTATTTTCCCTGTTTACCGACGTGTGCCCATAACCTCGAGGCTTAAGCGCCCCCGAAAGGATAAGGTCCTCGACCTTACTCACGAGGGGGAGAAGAGCAAACTTGAGTTGCCTCCTAACTTTCACAACATGAGTTTCTTCGAAGGCTCCTCCCTCGCACTCCTCCGGACAGAGTCCTTGAAGCTCGAGGAGCTGGACTGTTCGAGCAAGAGGACAATGCTGGCCCAGGACGCCACTGCCCTGATGAGAATATTCCTTTATTAAATTTACTTCAGTTGCATCAAAGAAATAGGCTACTTTGAATAGTTTTAAGTATCCTTTATTATAGTTACTTCTAGAGATTTATGTAACATTTCTTATAGCTTGTTATTTCGTTACATTTGCGATATTTAATTTTATAATACTTAAGTTATTCGCCTACTATATATTTATGCGTAGTATTAGTTATTCTTTGTTTTTTTAATATAAATGTAATTTTGTGTAACTAATGGATATTAATTATGTTAGAACATTATTTTAATATTCTAATATAGAGAAATGAATTAAAAAAAAATTCTTAAGTCAACTTACACATGGTGTGTTAGTTGAAAAAAATTTCTTAGTACCACCTTGCTTAGGTGAGATATATTTCATTTCTCATTTCATTATATAAGGAAATTCTCTATTTCATTCCAAAACACACCAAAAACTTATTATGAGTTTTTCCTTCCTCACTCTCATAGCTATACGTCTTGCGAATTGTCAAATCGCCAACTTCTCCCCCTTTCTTTCTACTCCCTGACTTTTTCAAGTATTTTCTTAAATTCTCTTTTAGAGAATTATGTTAATTTCTCCTCGTTTGAGTTGAAAAATTACAAGTATTAATATTGAGGATCTACCCATGACATATGAGTTATAAGGTTAACACCCATATCTTTAAAGTTGAGGCTATCAAGGACATGTGAGCTATAAGGTTAACACCCCTATCTTTAACACTTCTCTTTTTGCTAACTTGTTTATCCTTGGAATGAACTGAAGATATTTAATTTCCATACAATTTATAATATAAAGGCTTTATATGACCATACACTCCACAATAATGACATCTCCAACAAGATTAGTAATTATTTGGAGGTTCATTATGTCTGTCAAAATGTTGTAACAATTGGTTAGACATTGTGATCATCTTGTTCCTTTCAG